TTTTTTGCGGTACGCGGGCCTCTCACTGCTGTGGACTCTCCCGTTGCGGAGCACAGGCCCCGGACGCGCAGGCTCAGCGGCCATGGCTTATGGGCCCAGCCACTCCGCGGCATGTGGGATCTTCCGGGACCAGGGCATGAATCCGTGTCCCCTGCATTGGCAGGCGGATTCTTAACCGTTGCACCACCAGGGAAGCCCTCATTAGGCACTTTTGTTTTTCCCCTGCACCCGTTGGTGTTTCCCCTGTTGCTGGCTTCTCCAAGTCTGGGATAGTTGAGGCAAAACAAAAACTCAGGGAACCACCACGATGTCATTCCTTGGGTCACGTGGTTCCTAACCAATCTGCCGCCTTCTTCAGAGTCGTCTTATGTTTGTTTTATAGTATATAATTTTCAAGGATTTTAGTTTTACTAAGCAGGGAGAATAGGGAAAATTACATCTATTCCATCTTCCTGGAAGTGGAAGTCTCTGATTGCTTTTATTAACTTGCACTTTGAGATAAAGAATTAGAGACTAAACTCCAGCCCCACTAAATATCTCTTATATTTGGTTGTATAAAAAATATGAATAAACATTAAAATATTTTCATTAAAGAAAAACTAGGTTTGAAAAACGCAAATAACTACTTTTGGGAGAAAAAAGTTTAAATTTAATTAAATAGAATTGATGTGAAAGGAGTCATGACCACAATTGAGGATTTTACAAAACAAGGTAATTTTGTGTAGTAAATTTGAAGCTTTAAATTATCAGTGTTCTGGAAAATAAAATTATAGCAAACTTGTTCTAGGAAGATATAATGAACCTGTAATAACCAGTGTACAAAAAAGAAATTGAAATGATTTCGTAAAATTAAAATAGTCTCCAATATCTAATAGCTTTAAGCTTAGTTCTTTCTCACTTTCAAAAAACATTTCAATGTCATGCCAGAGTGGTGATTTCAGAGCATTAAAAAGATGGGGAGGGTGGGCTTCCCTGGTGGCGCAGTGGTTGAGAGTCCACCTGCCAATGCAGGGCACACGGGTTCGTGCCCCGGTCTGGGAGGATCCTGCATGCCGCGGAGCGGCTGGGCCCGTGAGCCGTGGCCGCTGAGCCTGCGCGTCCGGAGCCTGTGCTCCGCAACGGGAGAGTCCACAGCAGTGAGAGGCCCGCGTACCGCAAAAAGAAAAAGAAAAAAAAAAAAATGTTGGGGAGGGCGTCCCTGGTGGCGCAGTGGTTAAGAATCTGCCTGCCAATGCAGAGGACACGAATTTGAGCCCTGGTCCTGGAAGATCCCACATGCCGTGGAGCAACTAAGCCCATGCGCCACAACTACTAAGCCTGTGCTGTAGAGCCCACAAGCCCCAACTACTGAGCCTGTGCTCTAGAGCCCACAAGCCATAACTACTGAGCCTGCATGCCACAACTACTGAAGCCTGCGCGCCTAGAGCACATGCTCTGCACAAGAGAAGCCCACGCACCGCAATGGAGAGTAGCCCCTGTTCACCCGCGCACAGCAATGAAGACCTAACGCAGCCAAAAATAAATAAATAAAAATAAATATATTTTAAAAAAAAAGATAGGGAAACTACCCAGTTCACTTAATGAAGCATGCATTGTCACAATAAAACCTGTCAAAGATAGTTCCCCAAAGGAGTTCCAACACAGTGCGTATAGATATTTGATGTTTCTGCAAAATTGGTTCTGTCAGTGTAACTTAAGAAAGCAGTGGATAAAAATTAAACACTGTACGAATGTCTGTCTCGCCCGCCCTCCTTCTCTAACATCTCTGCTCTAGGGTCCCTGTTCTCCGTCTACTTCATGTCGTCTTTGTAACACCGCTCCACTAGCCCCCCAGCCTCCCCACACACACACACTTCAGCTTGGCTGTTTTGCCCTGCAGGTACATCAGCAAGTGGAGCTTTCCTCTCTTCTACTGAGAACTGACTTGAATCTTTCAATCCAAATGCATGAGAGAGAAAATCTCATTTAATCCACTGCTGCCATGTACCTGGTACAAACAGGGCTGCTATAGTATAACACTAGGGGCACCTAAATGGGTTGAGAGTAGAGCTATTTTTCATATTCTTACATCTTAGAAATTTTTTATTACCTATGCTGTGGATTTTTCTTTCCAGTTATTCAGCAAACAGTTATTGGGTACCTATCATTTTAGATCTCTAAGTGAATTTTTAAGAGAAAAATGAAAGCAACATTTGGAGTAGTCAACCATTTAGTTTCAAAGACCATCAGCTTTGACTTGAGTTGCAGCATTTATATGTTTAGAAAATCTTGATGATGTTCATTTTCTAGGTATAAATTTTATAGTATATCAGTTAAAAAAAAAAACAAACACAGACAATCAGCATGGGCTGTTTCTTTGGAGAAGAGTTAAGGGACACTATTGATGCTAGGCAACACTGCTCCAAACTTCTTTGGGAAAATAATTAAAATTAGTTTTATGTGGTTCACTATTTATAACTTATAAAAATTGGATGATTGCTCTGGAATCATTTCAGAGGCATTATGCCATCTCTATCAATAGATCCACAGTTTCACAAATAAGATCTTTTACCTTTTGTGAGCTTAGGAGTTAAAACACTTAGGTAGGCCCATATGAGTAAAAACCTTGGTCATGAATCATTCTGAAGTAAAATCAACTAGTGTAGCATATGCAGATTTTTTTTTTTTTTAACAAAAGTTTATTATCTTATACTTCTGTAGGTTAGAAGTCTGACATGTCTGCCTGGGCGAAAATCAAGGGAGCAGTAGGACTGTATTCCTTTCTGGAGGTTCTTGATTTATCTGTGTCCTTGCCTTTCCAGCCTCTAGTGAGCACCTTCATTTTTTGGCTCACGGCCCCCTCCCTCCATGCAGATGATAATTCTACTTTTTTTTAAGTAAAAATGAATGGATATAGTACTAAAACTTAAGCTTTGTCTGTCTTATTTTGTTAAGTTTTTTAATGTATATGGAACAGTCTTATGGATGCTATACATGATTTTCTTCATTGTCACTAATATTTGTTTAGACCTGATGGCCAAAAGAAAGGAAGGAAATTTCTTCTCTCCTGGAAATGCCAAAAGACCAAGACAAGAAGAGCTGGATGATTTTGATAAAGATGGTGACGAAGATGAATGTACAGTTTCTTTCACTAATGGTACCTCTACTTTGGTGAGTGCAAAATTACAATATTATGTCTTTTGATTTGCATGTTTCTCATGTCTGGTTTATATGTCATGTTCTTAATTCAGTCTCTGCAGAGGAAAAGTAATATGAATTTTAAAAAGCTGAGATAAAATCTCACTAATTTTGAAGTTTATGTTAATGATTAGAAAAAATTAGTGGAGAAAACAGTGAAAAAAGGAGCTGGTTCTTTGGAAAGATCAATAAAATTGACAAACCTCTACTAAGATTGACAAAGGGGAGAAAAGAGAGAAGACACAAATTACTAATATCAGGAATGAAACAGAGGATATGACCACAGACTCTGCAAACATCAGAAGGATAATAAGGGAATACTGTTAACAACTCTACACACATAGATTCACAGCTTAGGTAGAGTGGACCAGTTCCTCGAAAAGCACAAACTGCCACAATTCATTCAATATGAAATAGATCATTTTAATCACTCTGTAACTATAAAGGAAATTTAATTCATCATTTAAAAACTCCCAAAAAAGATATCTTCAGTTCCAGTTGGTTTGATTGGAGAATTGTACCAAATGTTCAGGTTCAGGTTCAGGTTCGGGTTAGCATTCAGGAACAATTCTTAGACTTAACATCAAATGTACAAACCATTAAATGAGAAATTGATAAATTGGACCTCATCAAAATTAAAAACTGTTCTTCTGCAAAAGACCCTGTTGTAAGATGGAAAGTTAAGCCAGGAGAATATTTGCAAATCACATATCCAACAAAGTTCTAATATCTTGTATGTATAAAGAACTCTCAAAATTCAGCAGTTAAAAGCAAATAATCCAATTTGAGAATGGGCAGAAGACATAAAGAGACATTTCACTGAAGAAGAGGATATACAGATGCAAATAAGCACATGACATGATGTTCAGCATAATTTTTCATCAGGGAGATGCAAATTAAGACCACAATGAGATATCACTGCATACCCATCAGAATGGCTAAAATTTTTTGAAAAGTGACAACACCATATGCTGGCAAGGATGCAGAGACACTGGATCATTCAGTGGTGGGAATGTAAAATGATATAGTCACTCTGGGAAATAGTTTGGCAGTTTCTCTAAGAAATTTCACATGCAACTATATCATATAACCCAGCATCTGTCACAGAGAAAAGAAGATTTATCTTCACACAAAAATCTATACATGAATGTTCATAGCAGCTTTATTCATAATAGCCAAAAACTGACAATCCAGATGGCACACAGTGAGTGAGTAGTTAGGCATGCTGAGGCACATCTATACCCTGAGATACTACTTAGCAATAGAAAGCAGTGAAATAATGATACAGGCAAAAATGGACAATTATGCTGAGTGAAAAAAAAGCCAATCTCAAAAGCTTACATTCTGTGTGATCCCACTAATATAACATCTTGAAATGACAGTGTTTCAGAAATGGAGAACAGATAATTGGGCCAGGTGTTAAGGAGTGGGTGGATTGGGTGGCATGTGGATGGGGCTCTAAAAGGACAATGTGAAGGATACTTGTGATGGAAATCTTCTGTATCGTCACTGTATCAATATGAGTATGCTGGTTGTGATATTGTACTGTAATTTTTCGAGATGTAACCTTGGGCAGAAACTGGGTAAAGGATTCACAGGATCTCTCTGTATTATTTCTTACAACTGCATCTGAGTCTTCAATTAGATCAAAATAAAACGTATTTTTAAAAAGTCTTCAACCACGATTTTCAGTATTCTACTCATACAAGGATGTAAATGTTTTCTGCTTTTTAATAAGCTGGTGTCTAGTAGAAGAGAGCCAGGGATTTTTTAAATAAATGACTAAAAAGGCTGGAGACGTTAAGTGTTCTTTAAAAAAATTTGGAAGGTTTGGTAAAATATGTTTGATTTATTTTCGTATTTTTAACTACGAAGTCTGACCACTGTGTGCTGAACTTTTGCTTGAAACATTTATAAACCTTCTCTAATTTAATTATGGCATATATTCACAATATGAGAATTATAATTACATATCCTCCCCGCAGTGGGGGACGTTTAGCAGTGTCTGAATATATTTTTGGTTGTCACAACTAGGGTGGGGGGAGAGTGCTACTGGCATCTGGTGGGTAGCAGCTAGGGATGCTGTTAAACATCCCACAATGCACAAGACAGCCTCTCTCCAACAAAAAATGATCTGACTCAAATGTTGGTATTGTCCGTATTAAGAAACCTTGATACACTTATTAGATCCTATAAGGACTTTAGAATGAGTGGTTAATCATATAAGGTCTCCATTTAATATCATTTACTCGTTGACTAAAGTTAACATTTAAAATTATACTTTCTGGGCTTCCCTGGTGGCGCAGTGGTTGAGAGTCCGCCTGCCGTTGCAGCGGACACGGGTTCGTGCCCTGGTCCGGGAAGATCCCACGTACCGCGGAGCGGCTGGGCCCCTGAGCCATGGCCGCTGAGCCTGCGCGTCCGGAGTCTGTGCTCCGCAACGGGAGAGGCCACAACAGTGAGAGGCCCGCATACCGCAAAAAGAACAACAACTATACTTTCTGTAACTTTTTTCATTGGTAGCACTGCTAGTCTTTCTCTTCTAGCAAGTGATTGGTTGACTGTAGTGATTTGATTGTTTTCTCTCGTTTTTTAAATTAATAGACAGCAGCAGAAGTTGGAATAATTGAGAGTATTCAGCTCAGAAACTTCATGTGTCATTCGATGCTTGGACCCTTTAAATTTGGTTCTAATGTCAACTTTGTTGTTGGCAATAATGGAAGTAAGTGCTTTTGCCCTCCTTCTTATTTGACTTTGAACAGTACATTGAGATCAGAATGCATTAACTTTTTAAAATAGGTGACTACTCGTGCTGATAAATCTGAGTTTTAGACCTCTGATTTGTGGTCATGAATTTTTTCAGTATTGCCTGCCAGTCTGCACTTTAAGAAATGAGTTAACTTTAGGCTCATTATGCAATAGGGATAAACATTTCCTGCTTATTCTTCTGAATCTATGTACCTTGGAATTCATACCACAGAAGAGTGGGCAAGCTATCCTCATTGCAACTGAGGCAGGCCTGTGTCTTATATCTATTAAATGTTGTAAGAGCGTGAATAAAGTGTCTTGGGAATCCAACCTTGAAAGAGACTAATTCTTACGGTTGTGGCCAATGAAAGCTTTAAGAAGAGTTGGTATTTGTGGTGGTACTTGAATAAAAATGAAAGATTCTTTAGATCTTATTGGGGAAGAAGAAGCTGAGATGTTCCAGGCAAAGATTGCTCATCACCAAAGGTTGGGAGGGGTAGAAGCAGATGTATATGGAGAGAGGTGAACAACCTCCTAGGGTTTTATCATATCGTACATGGTAGGGAGGGGCAGGAGCATACACTGGAGAATCCGTTGTAGGTAATGTTGTTGAGGATATCGACTGCCATGATAAATATTTGGGTATTTCGTTCACAAGTCAGTGGGGAAGCTGTTAAAGTTTTAGAGTATGGAGGTGACACGGTGAAGATTTGTGAAACAAACTGGCCACATTGTAGAGAGTAGATTAGAAGGGGGAAGACATAGGAGTTAGACCAGTTAGGTAGCTTTTGTAGTAGACCCCCGCTGGATGTGAGGTGTTGACTGCTTGACTGAGCCAGTACAGAGGGAGAGGAGCTTGCCAGGGTCCACGACTGGTGGCCGTGCTAGAACATGAAACTAGTACAGGTAGCTCCATATCTGTTCAGTTGCTGTTCTTTGTTTTCCCTACTCTATTCGGTCAAGAGGAAAGTATTTTCAGAAGGAGGGGATAGACAAAGGAACCAGAGCTACGGGGAGGTCAAACAGGACAAGAAGTAAAGACAGACTGGTGGGTTGGTTCTGCGGTTAGATCTTCACTCCTGAAACAGCGAAGTTATTAATATAATGCAGGTGGTGGAGGCAGTGAATTTAGAAATGAAGAAAAAGGAGAGAGTTAGGATAGGGACTTGAAAGGCATTCCAGGAACTGAATTGAGCTAACCAGTGTGTACTTTGGTTAATTTGGAGTATATTGTGGAAGATGATGAGCTGATAAGAGTTGATTAATTTGGTTGATTGTGGAGTTGAGAAAATGGTTATCATAATTGTTAAAGATTTTGGAATTTTAGCTTGTGATATTTTATGTCTGTTAGGGTAAAAAGAAGTATACTCTTCAAAGAGCTAGCAAGTGAATAATATTCAAATTAGGAATAATAATTGTCAGAATATTATATAAAAACATTGTCTATATGACTGATAATTCTTTCATATTTAAGCTTATTCATTCAATAAATATGTGAGTGCCTATTATGGGCTAATATTGGAGATAAAGCAATGAATAAAAAACAACAGTCCTGTCCCTCTGGAGCTTGCATTCAAGGTTAACAATAGTTTCTGGCTTCTGAGAATTTATGGAAAAAGTAAATTTTAATTAAATTAAGATGTAAGAAAAATTAGATGACGTAAATGTATATGGGTAATTAGAAAGATGAATTCATTTAATAGGCTGATGGGCCAAGATGACACAATGAGAGTTTTAGGTTGGAAAGGTATCAACCATTTTTCCATTTCCTTATTAGTGGCAAAGATTTGATTCCTGAAATGTGCTGATTTTTTTCTAATAGCAGCAACTAAATATTTCATGATGTGTACAACTTTTTGTTTGTTTTTGGCACTGGAAGAAAATTATAATTGAAGTATAATGCTTTATTTCAGAAAATTTTTTACATCAAATTGTAGGAGTCAGACTTCTCTTTTCTCCCTCTAATGAATATGATTTCTTCAACACCTGTTCTTTAGGTGGGAAGAGTGCAGTGCTCACAGCTCTCATAGTTGGTCTTGGTGGAAAAGCAGTTGCTACTAACCGAGGCTCTTCTTTGAAAGGTTTTGTGAAAGATGGACAGAAGTAAGTGTTTGTTTTCTACGTGTATTTTTCAGTTCTTTAATAAGAAGCAGCTTCTTTAGAATCCCAATTCATGTAGACATGGTAGGAAATGAATTGGATTCCCAGAACTGGAGCACCAATATCATATCTTTTCATTCCTTTCTCTTGCCCCCTGTTGCCAGCATAGCCCACTGTTGCCTGTTCACCTCTCCTGACAGAATGCTTGTGTCAGTTAGTGCCATGTGCCTGCCCACTAACACTCGTTTCTGTTACCTTTTTGGAAGAACGAGCAGTGATAAATCTGCGTACTTCTATTTAAAAGGAATATTTATAAACATTGAACTTTGCTGGCTTTTGACCCAAACCCAGCTTCAGCAAGTCCACGTCGGTATGAAGTGGGCTAAGGCAGAGTTAGTGACCAGCCAAGGTGTCCCTAAACAGAATTGCTGCCTCCAGCTCTAAGAATTTCAAAAAAGTATTCCATCTGTCACTTTATATCCTTTACTCAGGGGGTTCACCAGTGAGCTTGACTTGAGGACCACAGTCTCGAGTCTCTTTGGGGTCCATCTTGACCCTTGGTGAATGGTCATATAACACCCCTCTGTGGCTTTACATTTGCATTTCTTTCTGTTATAGTTTGCCATCACCTAACTATATATTAATTGCTCAGTTTGCATCATCATAGACTCGTGACCTTTTGCCCATTAGGAAACTCTCTTCAGACTGATCTCCTTGTTCTTTTTAATTCTGCCTCAGAAACCTCTGAGGGATCCTCATGTCTCCTAACAACTGCACGTCCCAGGCTCCGTCATACCAGCTCCCAGAGTCAGGCTGCTCCCGCTGCCCATTCATTCCTCTTTCACACGCCCAGTGCCCAGAACTTCTGGAACTTTGATAATTAACAGTGATACCTTTTTTTTTTTTCCTTCATGTAACAGACTTTCCTCCTGCTCAGTGTTGTATCCACTTAATTTCCCCCGTTTTCCATTTTATTTCTAAAAAATAGAACGCGGACGGGATGTGAGTCAGGTTTGCGGGTTTTTTATGTATCTCTCAGAAACCTTGGGAATCTTAACCCTAAGCCAGGGTTCCAAGTTGACTCAGGATGAAGGGAAGAAAAGATACAGAAAAATTCATTTTCTGTGCTGTATGGCCTTGAAAAAGAACCGTTTAGTAACAATTCTCCAGCTTATTTTCTGTCTCTCCTTATCTTACTTGGGCGCCAGCCCAGCAAGGTCTTCTCTTCCACAGTCTCCAAACAAAATTATGGCTGAAGTCAAAAATTAGTTATTTTAACACTTTTAAGGCACTGGTCTCAACTCTGCTTCAATTCATTATACTGAACTCTACATTTCTTAGTTGTCCAAATAGTTACCTAGTCTGCCTAGCTAGATAACACATTGATCTTTCAAATAGAAGCCTCAGGAAGAAATTTTTTTTTTTTCTGCACGATTAAGTGGTTTATGTCTCAAAGATTTTAAATGTTTTTTCTATATGGGAAGTAGCTGGATGAAAGCAGAAACTTCTTTCTGAGATGTGTCCTTGGAATACCATTAAAAAAAAGAAAGAAAAATAAAGGCTAGCTTACACAAATCACCAACTTTGAAGGACACAGCTGCCTGTAGATAGGAACATTAAAATATTTTAAAGAGAGTTAATAACAGTTAAAAGCTTTAACCTGAGCTCAGCCTCCTTTTTACTGACCTTGTCTAAAAAAATAGCTAAAATGAGCTTTTCCAAACCCATTACTATTCCTCTTGTCCTCCCCTTCCTCATTTAAAACATTTGGTATCTATAAAATTTGTCTTCTTTTATAGTCTCTGATTCTGTCATCACTTTTTTACAGAATCAGCTCATCGAGCTTTTCGGTTCTATTCTGCATCTAAAATCTATGAGGCTGTCCCGTTCTTCCTGAGGAACGTCTTTCAGTCTGGCAGAGGTTTGAGGTGGTCCTCAGGACTCTGTCCCTCCCGCACATCTGAAACATTACACTCTCCGTCTGTGATGCCTGGGCTCGGGGCTACCTTTGTAGAGGGTTTCAACTCCTCCATTAGAGACGCTTGCCGAATTTGGTTAGGAGAAGCCAGACGACTGTGCCTGGAGGCTCTTTACTTGGCGCTCCAGCCTCTGATTATCCACTGAGGCTTTGCAGTGAGTGGTACAGGGACAGTGATGTAATTCTGCAGTGACCAAGGTCTCAGACGCCTAGCTGTTCAGGTTCTTCAGCAGGTTCATTTACTGTTCCCTCCTTGGCCTTCCTAATCCTATCGTGGCGGCACTGGGCTCTTTGCCGCAGCCGTTTCTGACATCAGCTGTGGCATTGGGAGTGGGTTATGGGGGGACAAAAGCTCCTGCTCCTGCTGTACGTTCCTGACTTATTAGTCAAGGTTACAGAACTTACTGCAGATGAGCTGGCCACCCAGAGAAGGAACAGATGCATCCTATTTTTACATGACTTTTTCCCTGTTCCTTGTTCCTCGTGCCCATCAGTGCCTGATGCTACCAGTCATCTCTGTGCAGATAGGTTCTCCTGGAGCTAAGAAAGAAGCCACACCCTTATGGTGGTGCCGCTTGTGTGTGTTGTCGTTCTGAAGGAACTCTCGGTGACAGTCTCTCTTCTCACTAAAGGGTCTCTTTATTTACAGACACTGGGCTGTATGGCTGTTGACCCAAATTCAGCAGCAGTCACATTAGTAGGTGGGGAGACAGCAGTTAGTCTCAGCTCAGTTATCCCTGTCTCCTTGTACAGGTTTTTTGAGCAGGTGTTGTGAGGGTTTTTTTCGTAAGCTTTAATTTCTTTTGAATAACTTGCCTTTCTTAGATTTACTAAATTCATATGACAGTAGGATACCAGTCCCTCCAAAGCTCTCACAATACTAAAGATAGCTTTCAAATGCAAGGAGTAGCTAGGAAGGAAAATAACAAAGTAGATGTTTGCTAATCAAGGGAGATGTCACTTTATTTTTTAAATGTTTTCATGAGGTACACTCACTTAATACTAGTTAATCATACTAGTTAATGCAATAAATATTGTTTGCTCCATGTTGTAGGCCAGCTACCCTTCCCCTATCATATACTTGAGTAAATAGTTTTCAACCTTGGCTGTTCATTAGAATCAACCCAGAAAGCTTTCAAAAATCTCATTGATTACAACTTTTCAGGAGCATATCTGTCTTCATTAGGTATTTCTGTTTAAACCCCACCCCCACCCCCTGCCAAACCACTCAGGGTAGCTTTAGAAGAGGAGAATTATCATAAAGATGCAGGGATATATATGTCTTGGAAACTTCAGTGAGGCAGCGTAATTGGATCTCATGAGTGACCAGAACTGAGAGACTCAGAAACAAAGATCTTTGGTCTCTAGGTCTTTCTTTTCTGTGTCTCTGGCTTTCTTTGTGTCTTTTGTCTCCAGGCCTCTGTCTCCCTTCCTTCCTTAGCCGGGTGTGTGCTGCCGCAGCACCACCTCCCTGCCGCTCCTCAGTGGCTGCACTTCTGTGCTGTGCCCTCCTCCCTCCCTCTCCTGTGACAGGCATGCAAGTGTGTGAATGTGTTTCCCTCTCACTGCCTCTGGAGCATGTGTGCTCTTTCTTATTCTTCAGGTCTTTGGTACTCTGTGTCTTCGTGGGCAGGCGTTTATGTCTTACTGTCTAGGTGTGTGGGGCTGCGCATGGAAGGAAGTGCTCTCGAGTTCTCTGTGTCTCTGATTCACAGCCAGTATCTGTGATTATGTGTCTCTGCCAGTCTGTCCAGGTGGTTTCCCAAGAGCTTATCTGCTCTGTGTTTCTGCTTCTCTCTGTCATCTCTGCAGGCTTTATACTTGTTCATCAGAGTATAATGCCCCAAATTGGTTTCTCTAGTCCCAGAGGGCCTCAGAACTTTGTATCTCCAAGGAATCACCACCTTTCCACTTGATGTGTCTTGATTTGAGTTTGTTTTAAAAACTTGTGGTTTTGAAATAATTTTAGATTTACATAAGTATTGCAAAGATAGTACAGTTTCCTTACAGCCTTTACCCAGTTTCCCTTAATGTTGACGTCTTAAACAACTGAGGTACTTTTATCAGAGCTACGCGGTTAACACCGGTACAATATTATTCACTAAACTACAGACCTTACTTGGATTTTACTAGTTTTTCTTAATTTGAATTTTTAAAGAAGGGAATGTGGCGCAGTTAGCATTCACTTTCTATATTTAGCCCAATCTGTGGAGGGAGGGATGGGGGCTGATAATGGCTGCTAAGCCATCTTTCTACGAGGGCACTTGCACAGAAGTACGGGGGCACAAGAGCTGAGCACCCTTCAGGGTGTCTACCAAGTGTAAGTTTACAGTGAAATTCATCTTGAGTATTTTTACCTACATTTCCTGCAAATAGGAACAATTTTGGGGTATGATTACTCCAAATTGATGAAAACAAGTTTATTCTGTTAAATATATCATTTAATTACCAATTAAAGCAATTTTGCATTAAAGGACTTTAGCATTTTTGGCAGATATTTATATTAACCAGAGAAAGTATTATCTGCTTTTATGTTTAAGGAAATTATAAGTATGTATTTATTAATGCCCTTCATTAATTTTTTAAAAGTTTTTCTACAAAGTCTTATTTGAACAGAAGTTAGAGTAGAAAAATAAAGATGAATTCTCCCCCCCCATAATATGTTAAAATATACATGGCTATAAATGCTTCAGACGTCTTTAAAACGTTAATAATGTTTATTTTGTAATACCAATAAAACTTTTAAGAAGCTTTGAGATTAGTTTACATCTCTTGATATCAAATACTTAAGCATTTTTTTTTATTGCCAAGTAATAGAAGAATTCAAGTTGTTTCCCTTGATTCTGATTTTCTTAGAAAATATATAACTTTACTTTAATTCTTACTGCATCTTTCTTAGAGGCCTGCTGTCAGGATGATGCTTTATTTTATAATTTAGCATAGTCAGGCAGTGTAATATTGATTATACATAGCGGTTGGGAAAATGTGTAATTTATCTACATGATGTGAAACAACCAAAACTTAAGTGGATTTTGTGCAAATGTATTTCTGTTATGGATAAAATAGTCAATTATTTTTTATAAAGTTTCTCTTCTTCTCAACTTTGTTCCTTGGTATCTTTAACATTATTCTGTAGTAGCCTGTCCGCCATCAACTGCTGGTGTAAAGCTGCTTTTCAAATGAATTAGCCAAATTTCTTGGAGGTTTTTAAAATTATGGTAACCTAGTGTTATAATTGCCCTGTGTACCTTCATGTGACTTAGCTTAACCTTATTGCTTTAGCTCAGCAGATATCTCAATAACATTAAGGAACAGAGGGGATGATGCCTATAGAGCCAATGTGTACGGTGACTCTATAATTGTGCAACAGCACATCAGCATGGATGGAAGTCGATCTTATAAACTGAAAAGTGAAACAGGTTTGCTATGAATTTCTCTTTATTTCATATAAAGTATTAGTAAACATCCAGTTAAAAAGAGTTAAGTGATTGTGCTGGTATCATTGAGAGGACACTTCTCATCTCTTGAAACTGCTTTCTTGCAAGAGGATTGGTTGGTTGCATGTATGTGTACACACACGTGTGTATCCGTACATAGCTGTTTTACCACAGGGCATTCTACAGCAAAAGCATGATTAGCAGAATTTGGGTCTGTTTGAAACAGGCTGTGATAAGTCATTTTGATCTCACTTGTAGACTTCCTTTCACCCCCATAGTTTCTGTCACATGTGGAAAGAGAAAGTTAGCCAAAGGTAGAAAAAGACATAAAGGAAGAGGAGGTGGGTGTGGAGAGTTACTAAAGAGACAGATGAGAAGGAAAAGGAAATGTTTAGCTATAGGAAGAAGAGAAGTACCTGCCACTGCATTTGTGTGCTTCTGCCTCCTGCGTACTTGTGTCATAACAAGTGTGTCACCTCAGTTCATTCAGATGTGTGTATGTGCAGTGGTACCTTTCTTGATGACATCAGGAAAACTAGTTAACATTTATGTTTATAAATAATTGCTCATTTTTAAAAACGTATTATTGCCCTAGAAATAGTCTGGTCATTTTGTGTTTCTCATAACTAGGCGCCTTGGTTTCCACTAGGAAAGAAGAACTGATTGGAATTCTTGATCATTTTAACATACAGGTAATTGCTAAATTTGTGTTTCAGATTAATAAATACAACTGGTTACTTTTTTGTGTGGTTTCGTTTGTGGTGTGGAAAGAATTTAAATGGCCTCATATAAGTAAATTGACCACAGGACAAATATATTTAACTATGGTTAGTGAAGTTCCTTAAGGCTTCCTAATTCAACAGGAACCTTCAATATATAATATAACGTCTTTAATTTGACAGAACACACAAGAATATCTTGTCTATACTAGTATGTGCCAAAAGTTATGTTAATAAAATTTATGTTATAAAGTTTCTTTGCTTTCTGCTGTCCAAGTCAGAATGATAGCATCATATTTTCCTTAACACAGTTGCTAAATTTTTGTAGAGAGGAAGTTTATTCTAGCCATATAAAGAAAGCATTTCTTTATGTATTTTGGAGTTATTTCATCATACCTATAGGAGACAAGACTTGATTCCATTCTGCTAAGATACTTTGACTGAATAATTGGAAATGGGGCTCATATAGTCCTATAACGTTAGCACTGGAATTGTCTTTGGAGGTCATCTAATCTGGACCCTTTATTTTGTAGGTGAGAAACTGGGAGCCAGCAAAAGTAAACTTGCACTTACAGTTGTCTAGGCGTGGGTACTGGTTGAGCCTGCCTTGGGATCCAGACATCCCTGTTCCATTCTAATGCTCTATCTAACATTGTATCACCCTGCCTTATTCCAGGATTAAGAACACCAAGAGTAGTCACCAAGGAAAAAGAATAATTATGAGTATGGGTCTCTTTCCCAGTTTGGTTTAGAACAGGTTGTCCAGAAAAACTTTCTGTAATGGTACAAATATTCTGTATTATGGTGTCCGATGGGGTGGCCACTAGCTACTTGAGCACCTGAAATGTGTGACTGAGAAATCAAATGTTTTATTGTATTTTACTTAAGTGTCAAATGCTGCATGTGACTAGTAGCTTGCATATTGGGCAGCACAGGTTCAGAAAAATAATTAGTAAAATCTGGAGAAAAGCAGATACAGCAAATAAATTTGAGACTAGAACACAGGTCAGTTTGTTAAGCAAAATCAGGAAAACCAAAAGTTAGAGTGTATGGATTCACAGGTGTTGGGAAAGTCTCGAAGGGCATCCAGTGTAGTATCACACTGCATGCTTACCCTGTGTGCAGTCTCCACCAGATGTTCCTTCAGCGGGTACTTGAGTGGGTAGTAGTGGGGAAATGACCTCTGCCTGAGGCTGCTGATTCCGTCTGTAGGTGGCTGTGTTTATTAGAAAGTTGTTGTTAATGGGAAAAGTTGAATAAAGTCGGTTTCTCTAAGCTCCCACTTCCTTGGGGAATATAAAATATGTTTCTTTTCTTTTGAAATATTTGAAGATTGTTATCATAACTCCATTAGTCCTCTTCTTGTACAATTCACTTAACTAAAGGTTCAAGTTCATTGATCAAAATACGAAAGGTCTAGAGCTACACTTACTGAGTAACCACTAACCACGTGTGATGGATATTGAGCCCTCAAAATGTGGGTAGTCCAGATGGAGATGTGCTCTAGTATGAAGTACACACTGGAGGTTGAAGACTTAATGCAAAGGAATAACTCAGTTTTCATACTGATTACATGTTAAAGTGAAAATATTTTAGATATATTAAATTAAAAATATAATACTAAAATTAATTTCACCTGTCCCTTTCTATCTTTTTAATGTAGCTACTAGAAAACTTAATTATATGTGTGGTTTGCATTATATTTCCATTGGACAGTGCTGGCCTAGAATTACTAGGAGGAAGGAGAGTGTTTAATGTCTTTAAGTACCTGATTATATTTGTCCCCTGTGCCTCTTCTTACTTTTTCTCTGAAGTTTACCTGTGTGTGCTTGCCTTTTGCTTACTCCAGGGTCTTGATGGGTAAAGCTGCCAGATTTTTAAATAATCTCTGCAGCAGTATAGAAACGAGGAACCCCATTTCAGAGGATGTAGAAAAAAGAATATGAACTTTGGTGAAGCTGTTAATCCGAAGCTGGTGATAAAATGTCTGTCATTAAAGCTAGTGCATTAGGTCTTAGTTTTAAGAAGTCAGATACTGTGTGAAATTAAGATACCACACAGACCTTGTTAAAAAAAATACGTGGCAATCAGCGTCTGGTCTACCTATATAATGAGAAAAAGGTGATATGTAGAGGTTTCTTTATAACTGCATAAATGTTTTTTATCATCTTAGAAGATAAGACCCAAAATCTTGCTTAACAGAAAGGTTTTCACCAGTGGTATACTAAATAAAGTACAATCAGTATTTTACAGATGGTAAAATGAAGGAGTTAAGCATTTTTTTCCTTTATAGTGGTCCTTCATGTTCTATACCTTATAAACAAGATTATTTTCTAACATATAAATTACTTGGTTATTAACACCAAAGATATACATGAGAAATGAACTTGAATCTTTTTGAAACAAGTTGAATTAAAAAAAATCTTCTTTTCAACTCCACTTTGAACTGTTATTATATTGTTATTTTAACTGTACTTCAGTTTGTTAGCCAGAGGTAGTTTAATTCAAGTAATGGCTAATTTAAAATGACTTCTCCTTCAAAGGATAGAAATGATCCCAGTTTTTCCATTTGTTTTACAGTATATCCTCATGAAGAAATGACAGGATGTAGGAAATCTGAAGAAGTGCTGTACAAAAAATAAACAATACTTGTCATTATAGTTCTGATTAGAAGTAACTGAGTTGGACTTTTTGTATTTAGTTGGAGGAAATAACTAACTCACCTGCGGCTACATAGGAGGTTCAGACAGAGCCAAATAAGAACCCAAGTCAGCTGACTCTCATGCTAGAGCTCGGTGGTCTGATGATTAACCAGTAGCATAGGAGTGATACTCTACAAAACCAGTGAAAGGAATGAAAACTTTCTAACAAAACACACTCCTTTAGAAAGTTCTTGTGCTTGTGCCCTCATGTAATGGCAGAATATTTAATTTTGGCTGTAGTATTGATATTTATTTTAATATAATGAAATGTTGAAATATTTTCTCTCTCTTAGGTCACGTGTAATGGATATTTTAGTTCATTTCTCTTTAAGGAATTAAAATGAAATGTTTAAAGATAATCATTTGTTTGTTTGTTTGTTTCAGGTAGATAATCCAGTTTCTGTCTTAACGCAAGAGATGAGCAAGCAGTTCTTGCAGTCTAAAAATGAGGGAGACAAATACAAAGTAAGATGCACCAAAGTAAACATAAACCTAACCAAAAAGAATACATTTATAGGTTAAGCATCTATACTGAACATTAATCTTGGTCACATAGTAAATATCGAGGATTTTTTTAAGTCACTATTTAGAGTAATATTGTAGGACTAATTTAGGAACTTGTTAAGTAAGATGGAAGTATAATTTTCTTGGTAAATCCTTGCTTTAACTTCTTTGCTTTTAATTCTGAAAGAGAATGAATTCTAAAATTTATCTTTATGGAAATACAAGGGAATGATTGCCCAAACATACATAATAACTTTTAAACATTAGATTATTTTAAACTTTTTAAAATATTTATTTATTTATTTTTGGCTGCGTTGGGTCTTTGTTGCTGCACACGGGCTTTCTCTAGTTGCAGCTAGTGAGGGGCTACTCTTTGAGTTGTGGCGAGTGAGGGGCTACTCTTTGTTGTGGTGCGTGGGCTTCTCATTGTGGTGGCTTCTCTTGTTGCAGAGCATGGGCTCTTGGTGTGTGGGCTTCAGTAGTTCTGGCACGCGGGCTCAGTAGTTGTGGCTCGCGAGCTCTAGAGCGCAGGCTCAGTACTTGTGGCGTGCGGGCGTAGTTGCCCTGTGGCATGTGGGATCTTCCCGGACCAGGGCTCGAACCCGTGTTCCCTGCATTGGCAGGCATATTCTTAACCACTGTGCCACTAGGGAAGCCCCTATTTAAAACTTTTTAAAAAGCCAACAAAATATATGACTACTACTACAGCTTACAGTGTGACTTTTGAATGGGTTTTGGTATTCCCTATGCTAAAAAATTATGATGCATTAAGGTCAAGGATACTGGGACATCCCTGGTGGCACAGTGGTTAAGAATCCGCCTGCCAATGCAGGGGGTATGGGTTCGAGTCCTGGTCCGGGAAGATCCCACATGCCGCGGAGCAACTAAGCCCGCGCGCCACAACTACTGAGCCCACATGCCAGAACTACTGAAGTCCGTGTGCCTAGAGCCCATGCTCTGCACCAAGAGAAGCCACCATAATGAGAAACCTGCACACTGCAACGAAGAGTAGCCCCCGCTCTCCACAATTAGAGAAAGTCCGCATGCAGCAATGGAGACCCAATGTATTTACTTGCTTAAGTATGTTTTTAATGTCTTTTTACATAATTGGTCTAAAAGTTTTTAGAGACCAAATGCTTCTTTTTTTTCATAGTCCCGTGGAAGTTTACCAACTCCTAATTGTGTTTTTCTTGTTGTTGATATAGTTCTTTATGAAAGCAACCCAACTGGAACAAATGAAGGAAGATTATTCATACATCATGGAAACCAAAGAAAGAACAAAGGAGCAGATAAATCAAGGAGAAGAGGTTTGTAAACACTTAATGCAATTATTTTAGAGATCAGTCAAATTCCTATAGTACTTAGCAGGTAAATGGTATTGTAAAATTATATACCTACATATCTATGTATGTATATCTATATAAAGCTAGTAACAGTTTTATAGTACTCTATCAACTATAACAAGTGTGGTTTTTTACATTCAGGGTATTTATTAGCCTTTACTTTTTTGTTTTATAATAATGGGTATGTCCATGTCTTAATTCTTCTATGAGGCTGTAAAGTAGAGGACAGGGTAGTATCTAACATACTATCCCTTAGTTCCCAATAAGATATCACTGACTCCCACTCGGAAGTAGTTTAAAAACTATATTTCTTTTGATGGGAAAATAAGCACAAGCCTCAAGTTGGTATTAAACATAATATGCATTTATCATTATATACAATAGGTAACTCTTTCATTACGCTGGTAAAACGTTAACATTCTTTAAGCACTGATAGCTTGGTAGCAGCTGTCACATCAGTATTCACCAGCTTGGCAGCCATGTGAATGTGCTTGAATTTGAAATCACTCAAGCCAATGTGACTTTTTTACTTAGGTTTGTTTTTACATCTGCTATAGTTTGTTCTTGTACTTTCTTCTTCTGATTCTTGAAGAGCAAACCTTTGTTTGATAATCAGAGGTCTCAGAGTCATAAGGCTTATGTTTCAGCTGTTCATCCAGTACATTAAGTCCCACCAATTTTTGTATGATTCTGTATCTTTTTCTTTTGTCCCTTAGTCAGTTTTACATAGTCAGGTACTTTCAGCAACTTTTTAGCATGTTCTTTTGAGACAGAATTGTATTAATGATTGACCCAAGTCAACTTTATTAGATGTTACACTGACCTTTCATTAAGTGAAAACTGAAAAAGCAAAGATGAGTATATTTATTTTTATTCCCCACATTATTTCTTCAAACCTGGGGTATGTGATAGTGTGCAAGGATGTACTATAAACCACAGAATTGATAATGGAGTATCAGTATTATTGGAATGGCAGTGTTATTATTGGGGAAAGGACATATTGTATATTCAAGCAAATGTACGTAGTATATATTAGCATCTATTATTTTAAAAACAATAAATCAGGACTTTGAAGAAATTTGTTTGCTTCAGACAGCTTGGTGTTTAAATACCCACTTTCTTTATGGTATACTTTGTCATAAGTGATTGAAGATACTTTGTTTATGAAGTTTAAGAAGCGCATCCCTATATCATGTATCAGAGTTGCTTATGCATAATATGCACTTAATAGGAAACTTTTCCTAATTAATTAAATGCCCTATATTCTCAAAATAAGCTCTGGATTTGAGTAGTTTAATCTTTAAGAAGCAGAATGTGACCTAACACAACATTGTAAATCAACAATACTTCAATAAAAATTTAAAAAACAAACAAACAAAAAAATCCCAAGCCAACAAAAAAGGATACAGTGGGAGATACAAATGAAAAAGTCAAAATAAAGAAATAGAATGTGAAGATCAGAAACTGGAAATCATTCAGCCATCAAATATTAAGTTCCTACCATGTGCCTGCTAGCATTGTGCTTTGGCCATGACCATATAATGGCAAATACATACCAGGATTCTTGGGGTCGTAAACCTAACTATTCAGCAGAAAGCAGATGGTAGATAATTGACTATGGTGAGCACTACTAAAGGAGTTAAAGATTAGTTTGTGCAAAAGCGCTTAATAGGATACTGGCAACAGGGGTTAGGGACAAGGCAGGGGCAGTGGGAGAGGTATAGCCGTTAAGTAAGTAATGTCTAAGGTAAGAACTGAAGGGTGAATAATACCAGGCGAAGGATGGTGCGAGTGAGGAAGTGTGTTCCAAGAAATAAGCATGAATGGAGTCTTGGGCAAGAGAGTATGTGGTGGTTTTAAACAGCTGAAAGAATTCTACATTGTCTAAAGTAGAGAACACAAGCATGAGAGTTAAGAGGCCAGATTGTGGAAGACCTTGTAAAACTTAAGGGCAGTACAACACATGGAAGTGGATGGTTTGATTAAATGTATATTTTCAGTAGATCACTCTGCTGCAGAAGAGAGTGAACTGCTGTAAGGAAAGAACAAACAGAGAGATCAGTAAGGAAGGTATTACCGTTGTTCAAACATGATGATGATATAAGTTAGTGTAGTGGCAGTGGTAGCATAGAGAAGAGCTTTGAAATGGTTTGGGCCAGTGTTCTGTGGACATGTAGGGTAGTGGTGAAAACAGAAGCCAGATTTGTGGGGCTGAAAACCAGAGAGAGAATTGAAGAGCTAGAGATAATTTTCACGAAACTTGGATGGAAAGGGAAGACGGCTTTTAGAGGAAGAGGTGGTATCCAGGGGTGGATATTGGTGGTTTTGTTTGTAAATTGGAAAGATAAGTAAGTAAAGTTTTAAATGTGATCATGGAAAGGAGTCAGTGAGGAGGATTAAGTGGAAAAAAGATGAAAAAGATGGGATGAAAAATCAACTAATTTAGACCTCTTGAGAAGGCAGAAGGGGGGTGAGTAGGGTGTAAGTAAGAGATAGGGACTGGACTTAAGTATAATGAAGCCACCTCTTCCGTTTTAGCAGGAGGAAAATTTCGATTGCTTTAGGTTTATATATAAGGTTGTTGAACACGGGAGACGGTTTCTTTCTGATAGCTTCTGAATTCTGTGAAATAGGCATCAGGGAGAATGAGTAAGGGATTAGGGTGGCAGTTATATGAGGTTTGAAGAGAGTGATGATGGATTGAAATAATCCTGAAGAATGGGACAGTGACTTGGATAGGGAAACACACTAAGATCCATAGTGAAGACCCTAGTTGAACATGGAAACCATGAATGAAGAGGAGAGGCTGTCAACCCAGGTGTGCAGCTTTAGAAGCTGTTCATACGTCACTAGAGTTGGTTTTTGCTTTATTGATTAATTATTAAGAGAAAACTTGGGTAAGAAAAAATGTAACATTTGATTTTTAGAAATGAATTCCTTTTGAGCCTTCCATTATCATTGGAATGGATCCTGGGTATGCTTCGCCCAGGAGAACAGTCCAGTCTGTCTATCAGGTAGGAAACTGATAGAAACTGAGTTTTGTCTATACTTGTGTGGTCTTGAAACTTTTATTCCTTTGCTCTTCTTCATTTGAAGAGTATCTGGTCATTTTTATAGTGCAGAAATTAACAAAATGATTGTACTTAGTAAAAGGATACCAAAGAACCAAAAATATTTTTTATTTTTGCTTTAATTAAAGAAGTCATTTCCTAGCACATCTTTTTCAGTATTTGTTTAGGCAGTATTCAAAAGAAATACATTTGCGGAAAGTCTCGTCTCTTCAATGTTGTTAAGAAATATATTCTTTTTTCTTTTTTTAAGCGACTTACTGAACTAAAGCGCCAGTGTTTGGAGAAAGAAGAACGTTTTCAAAGTATTGCTGGCTTAAGTACAATGAAGACCAATCTGGAATACTTGAAACATGAAATGGCTTGGGCAGTGGTAATTTTCACTTAATTATCTATTCACACATATTTGTCATATACAGAATATACTTGGTCGTGGTTAGTCTTATATGTGACTTGCTATATAATTTCTTTTTAGGTCAATGAAATTGAAAAACAACTGAATGCTATCAGAGACAACATCAAAATTGGAGAAGATCGTGCTGCTAGACTTGAGAGGAAAATGGAAGAACAGCAGGTAATTATATGTTTTTTATACAGAGGTAGGAGTTGGTTGAGGGGTAAATAAAGGGAGTAGTTTTCTGTTGAGGGTTTCCACATGGACCTTTGCACCACAGAGCAGCCCTGCTCTTTATATTAACCTTGCCACTCTCTTGTTAACAGCTTTATTGAGATATGATTCATATACCGTACAATCCACCCATTTAAAATTTACAGTTCAGTGGTTTTTTTGTATATTCACGGGGTTGTACAGCCACCACAGTGGAATTTCTCTGCCGTCGTGCTGGCAGTAGATCTCCTAGCCTTTTCTTTCTTTATAGGAGCCCCAGTGTACTCAGTGTGACTGACTTACAGCTTAGTATTTTGTTCTACTTAGCTTACGAGCTTCTGGCTCCCAGACTTAGTTGTAGTACAGGATGTAATCTTTCCCCCTTTATTTTTTCCTGTCTACCCCTAAGATAAGCAGGTCATTCTTTTTCCTTTTAAGGGTTGTAATCATTAATCCGTGAAAGGTAATAGATGAATGTGTAAAAGTAACAGAAATGGTGAAGACAGTACATTTACTTAGTGATCTCTGGGCTGAATTTCTTATTCCCTCTTCAGGTAGTAAATGGAAATTCATCCCCACCCACCCCTCTCACCTTAGATTTTCATTTCTGAGAGAATATTCTGAAATTTTCATTCAGTTCTTCTCAGCTTCATTTCTTAGCTTGTCATAGGGGAAGACCTTGTTGCTTTCCTCTTTAGATATTCCCCAGTCTGAAAGTGAAATCCAGTCTTAGTAATAAACACTCTTTTTTTTTTTCAAGTGGGGAAAGGAAAATCTGGAGGTTGGATGATATTTAGTTCCGTGGCTATTTGCTCTACTTAAGTATTTGGCCATGCTATGTAGTAAATGGTAAATTTCTGGAGGGTTTGGACTATCTTCTATTTATATCCTTCCCACCGTGTCTGACATAAAACCTTTCACATAGTATATGCTTGTTTATTGATTATAGAATAACTATTGAAGGGAAGGTTTCTGAAGAAATAGTGTCTAAAGCAGACTTTAAACTTGTATTAACCTAATTTAAACTGAAGATAGATGAATTATATTTAGTTTGTATAACACCTAGACGAACTTCAATTTTTATAAAAAACATAGAGATTATACTACTGATGTCTTAATAACAGAACTACACTACCATTCTATATAATGTTTCCTAAATAGCCTACATATTGACAATTCCCTAATCTGTATCTCCTAATCAAAACTTTTATCCTGAGCACTTGGTTCAAATATTTGTCTTCCCTTCTTTACCTACATGTTCCAGACACTTCAAACTTAGCATTTCTAGTTGGATAGCTGTGACAGAGACTTTATAGCCCACAAAGCCTGAAGTATACACTATCTGGCTCTTTCTAGAAAAAATTTGCTGATCTCTGATCTAAATAGTTCTCATATTTGTCCCTTCTAATCTATTCCTGTTTTCAGTGCGACATTTTGGTCCCTAATTATTTTTGTCCCAGAACATTACATTAATTTCTTAGTGACATCATTTCCTTTCATTTTTCCCTTTACCATGCCTTCCATGTGCTTCCAAAGTGATTGTACGTATAGATTTACATATAGTTTCGTATCTTGTTTCCCTGTTATCTAGAGGATTAAGTTGTAAGCTGATCATGGAATTCAAAGCCCTTCTACCCCTTCATCTCATCTCCCACCACTACCCTCTCAGTTCAAGCTCCAGAAATAATTTTAATTCCTAAAATTGTTTTAATGCCTTTCCACATGCTTTTCCAACTCCCTGTAACACCTTTCCCCAGCTTTTTTCCTGGTACATTTTGATTAATCTTCCAAGTTTCAGCTCAAATGCTTCTTTGAAGGCATTCCTAACTTTTTCTGACAGACCTATAAATTCTTCCTCGTGCTTTCACAATTACAAATAAACATACCCTACTTAAGCATTATTGTGTCCAAACTGCATGATCTATTTGCATGTTTGTTTCTCTGCTAAATTGTGTCTGTCTCCCTTTAATTGTGTTACTTGAAGACAGTTGTTACTATATCTTTGTATCCCCAGAAAGATAGCACATTTATTGGAAAGCTAAATGTGGAATTAAAATATATTTTAGCATTTCAAAGTATTAGAGAAATGCAAATCAAAACTACAATGAGGTATCGCCTCACACCAGTCAGAATGGCCATCATCAAAAAGTCTACAAATAATAGATGCTGGAGAAGGTGTGGAGAAAAGGGAACCCTCCTGCACTGTTGGTGGGAATGTAAATTGGTGCAGCCACTATGGAGAACAGTATGGAGGTTCCTTAAAAAACTAAAAATAGGGTAACCATATGACCCAGCAATCCCACTCCTAGGCATATATCCAAAAAAGATGAAAACTCTAATTAAAAAAGGTACGTGCATCTCAGTGTTCATAGCAGCACATTTATAACAGCCAAGACATGGAAGCAGCCTAAGTGTCCATCAACAGATGAATGGATAAAGATGTGGTACACACACACACACACACACACACACACACACACACACGCACACACACAATGGAATATTACTCTACCATAAAAAATAATGAGATAACTGCCATTTGCAGCAACATCGGTGGATCTAGAGATTATCGTACTAAGTGAAGTAAGTCAGACAGAGAAAGACACATATTACATGATATCACTTATATGTGGAATCTAAAAAATAATACAAATGAACTTATTAACAAAACAGAAACAGCCTCACAGACATAGAAGGCAAATTTATGGTTACCAGAGGGGCAAGGGGTGAAGGGTAAATTAGGAGTATGGGATTAATGTATACACACCACTATATATAAAATAAACAACAAGGGCTTACTGTATAGTACAGGGAACCTATATTCAATATCTTATAATAACCTATAATGGAAAAGAATCTGAAAAAGAATAGATAGATAGATAGATAGATATGTACCCATCTATATATATCTATGTATATGTATAACTGAATCACTTTGCTATACACCTGAAACTAACATAATATTGTAAATCAACAATATTTTAATTAAAAAATACATATTTAACACTTTATATAATTATGTTTGTTTACCTAATTAATGTCTCGAGTTTAGTTAGAGCAAAATTAAGTTTATTTGAAATGTGAACCATATATAATTATTTTTTATTTTTTCTGTTTATTGGAGAAAACTAAAATATACTCCAACAATGTTATTTTCTTAAAGGTCAGACTTAATGAAGCAGAAAAAAAGTACAAGGATATTCAAGATAAACTAGAAAAGATTAGTCAAGAGACAAATGCACGAGCACCAGAATGTATGGCATTGAAAGCAGATCTTACTTCTAAGAAAAGGGCCTATAATGAAGCTGAGGTGAGAGAAATTTTCCAGTATTAAAAATTGCATATCACCTATAAATACTGTTCATTTATTTTTAAAAGTAGAGGTTTTTGTAATTGTGTTGCTTTCAGACTTTAAAAAATGTAATGATTTCATATGGCCATATATGTATGTTGTTTTAAAAATATATTTCTGCATATATTCAACCTCTGATTTGACGATTTGGCAAAAGTGGTCTTGAATGGGGTATTTGTGTTTTCATTTTACTAAAGTATGTCTAATTTTTTTTAGGTTTTATACAACCATTCCCTAAATGAGTATAGAGCATTAAAGAAAGATGATGAGCAGCTTTGCAAAAGAATTGAAGAACTGAGAAAAAGGTAAGATAGTTACTTTGCAATTTTCAGTTATTTTGTAATAAAGTAATCCAGGTGAAATGGAATATTTTATTTTCTGTATTATTGCCAAAGGAATTTTATCACATTGCTTTATGTTTGTTTGTTTGTTTGTTTGTTGCGGTACGCGGGCCTCTCACTGTCGTGGCCTCTCCTGTTGCGGAGCACAGGCTCCGGACGCGCAGGCTCAGCAGCCATGGCTCACGGGCCCAGCCGCCCCGCGGCATGTGGGATCTTCCCAGACTAGGGCACGAACCCGTGTCCCCTGCATCGGCAGGCGGGCTCTCAACCACTGCGCCACCAGGGAAGCCCTGCTTTATGTTTTTTAAATGTTAGGTTTTTCATTGAACATTTTCCACTTTGTATTATTTACCATTAGTGCTGATCAGTCTTTGGAACCTGAACGGTTGGAAAGGCAAAAAAAAATATCTTGGTTAAAAGAAAGAGTAAAGGTCTTACAGGATCAAGAAAGTTCAGTCAATCAAGAGATCGAACAATTTCAGCAAGCCATAGAAAAGGACAAAGAAGAACATATCAGAATTAAGTAAGTGTCCACATTCTTTTACTTTTTTCAGTTATTTGAAGATCATCTAGTTTTCCTCTTTATATGAAAAGAGAATACATGGGTTTTTTTTGTTTTTGTTCTTCTTCCTCATAATAAGGGATCTTTTAAAATCACTTTCCTAGTAAGACTTCTTAAACTTGTAGAATTGGACAGTTTCTGGGATTTCTAGTCCTCATTACGATTGCATTTTTTTTTTTTTTCCATGCTGAGTTTTGAGGTCTTCTGACTATTTTTTCCCGGTAACACAGTTGTTTTCAAATGAAAAAATCCGCTTTTAGTTTTTAGGGCAGCTGCGTCATTCACTGGTATGCAGGTATTAGGGGAAAAGACTGAGTATTTCTGTTTAACTGTATCACATATCTGTTTTGTTTTTCCACTTGTATTTTGTAGGAGAGAAGAGTTAGATGTGAAGAATACACTGAACTATAATCAGAGGCAACTGAAAGAATTGAAAGACAGTAAAACTGATCGACTGAAAAGATTTGGCCCTCATGTTCCAGCTCTTCTGGAAGCCATAGATGATGCTTACAGACGGGGGCATTTTACCTATAAACCTGTAGGCCCTTTAGGTATTTGTCACCAATTAGTCAGTATATAATAAAAATTAGAAGTACATTTTTATTTTCTGGAAGGAGTCTGCTGAATATAATTTTAAAACGCTGTTATCGAAGAACCATGTAGTTATATGTAGACTTTGTACATATTTTAAGAAATAATGATAAAATCACTTTAAATTTTGTAACTTTCCTTTTGTATATTTTAAGCATAAAAAAGCCAAAGAAAAGAGAACTTAGGAAAAGGAAAAGTAATTATAGAGTTGAATAATCTGCTTTTGATTTTTCTTTTGAATGAATAAATCAATGAACTAATTTGCATGTAATTGATTAGTAGGAAAATTCAATGATATCAAGATATAGTTAAAAGGCCAATCACCTGAGTTTTCTGTAAAACTTGATAAAATGACTTGTCTTTTTAAGTTTCTGTTTAGGTTTGGACAACATTACTTCTAAGTCCTCTTTCAACTATAAGCCTGAGGTTATTTAGTTATCCTCATATATACATGAGAAAAAAAATCAATTGAATTCTGAGGAGTTGTCTCTAACTCTGTACATCATTAGGTGAAAATGATGCTATAAATATACTTTTTTAGTAAAGTACTGTATAAGTACAGTATTATGTACTGTATTAAGTATTGTAGTAATGTCTCTTCATTTAAATGATATGTACCTCTATACCAGGATCCATTTTAATAGATGAGGTATTTTTTTCCCTCTCTAAATCTAAAATTTCAATATTAATCAGTTTTACAGAAAATAGTGAAGAGTCTATAACCCTTTTGGCTTGATTTTCAAAGCACCATTCAGAGGCTGGAATAGTATTATATATATATATACACATAGGAGAAATACTGTTGATTTACATCAGAGCGGGACAGCTTTTCACAGGATTTGGTGGGTTTTCTCCCCAGTGTATCCAGTGGGATGGGGTATTTCCCATTTGGTTAAAATAAGGTCTATAATATCATTTAAATTGCTTCATATGAAAATATTTTAAAGTCATTTATGAACTATTATAAAGATAGTTACATTAATATTTCAAGTATTTATGGGCTTTTTAGTAATTTTCTCTCACTTTTAGGAGCTTGCATTCATCTTCGGGACACTGAGCTTGCTTTGGCTATTGAATCTTGCTTAAAAGGACTTCTGCAAGCCTATTGTTGCCATAATCATGCTGATGAAAGAGTGCTTCAGGCACTGATGAAAAGGTTTTACTCACCAGGGACCTCACGGCCACAGATAATAGTTTCTGAGTTTCGGAATGAGGTGTATGATGTAAGACACAGGTAAGGCATCAGTAATTAAATACTGTTTCTGGTCTTGCTTAGTTACGTGCCAGCTCAGAAAGAGTTAAAACATTTTTAATGTTAACCATATCTACACTACTGATGTGTAAAATTCCATCAAGCCACGTCTTTAATTTGAATCTTAGGCATTGGAGATACATAGACAAATGAGAGATACTCCCTGCCTTTAAGGTCCTTACATGAGATCTGTTTTGGGAGACATACTGGGAAGTAGATGTTGTGTGGCTTAGAAATTGTACTGAAGAGGGAGATGGTGCAGACCTGGCCGCGTTAAGAGGGAGGGCGTACGGAAGAACTTTGGCACTCATTACTCACAGTTCAACTCTAGGTGGTTTACAGATTCCATAAAGAGCTGTGATTGTTTTCTTTAATGACCCTAACAAACCTCAAGGGCACCATACCCACACTGCCTTCTTTGTTAGCTGCTGGCTAGCTAATCACTTTACTTTTAAAGATATACGCGTATGTGTGTGTGTTCCTACATATATATAGTCCTCTCTATATCCCTGTGTATATATTCCTATGTATATATATTCCTATATATATATTCCTATATATATATTCCTATTAACAGATTGTTTTAAAATTTCTTTTCTCTCCCACTCCACTTTTTCTTATAAATCCAGTTTTTGCTTTTTCCAGTTGCCTTATATTTGGAAACATTAAAAATGCCCTTCATTTTAAGCGTGTTTTTTCTATATTTAATTTGATTGTGGTATTTTTCCGTTGACTTGGCTTTATAACTCACGTTTTTATTAAAGCTTTCTTCTAAGCTTAATTAGGATCATCAAATCATTTTGTCCTATAATTCCTCTTACCAGTGAGGCTCACCGTGCTCGCCTAGAATTTGATGTGCGGTTTCTCCTTTGTCCCTCTCGTCCTCTTTAGGCTTTCTACATTATGTTGTTTAGTGAGCCTATTCCATACTTGTCCTTTCCTTGTCTCATTACTGACACATTATTGCTACTATTCCTTCCTACTTTTCGTTTTCCTCGACTGATGTTACAGCATCTCTCAGCGGGCAACTAACTGTGATATAAACTAAATAGGAAGTGCATCCCAGGGAAGCAGAGCAAAAGGAAGGGGTGGTTGTGACTGGGTGCTTTAGAGCAAGCTGGTGGGAGCAGCCCTGTCCAGCAGTGGCACGTGCCTGCTCCCAAATACTTGCTCCTTCCTAGCATAGAAACCTGTGCTTTCAGTGGACTGGCCGGAGCCTATGTTTCACCACAATCCCCTTCCACGTCCCCTCCCTCTTAGACTCGGGCTCCCTATCCTCTCCCCCCTCACTCCCTGCGTCGTTTCATTGGCACTGCTTGATGCTTCTAGGGCGCCCACCCCCTATTCTTTCCTGTCTTTGTTTTTACTTCCACTTGAACTCTGTCCTCAGGTTACTATCCTATTTCTCTGCCTCTTTTTCACAGGAAGAACTTCTCAGGAGAGTTGTCTGTGTCACTAATTTCTCTCTTCCCTTCTCTCTTGAGCCTACTCCACTCAAGTTTTTATAGCTTCATCACATAGAGCAGCTCTTGTCTAGACGCCAGTGAGCCTTGCTTGGCTTGGTCCTGTCGTCCGTCCTTCCCACTCGCTGACTTGACCTACCAGCAGTATTTGATTCAGCTGATCGTTTAATTCTTTCTGAAACACTTTTTTTTACTTGGTCCCTAGGATGTCGCTCTTCTTGTCTTCCCAGATCTCTAGGTATTCTTTTTTAATGTCTTCTGCTTATTTCTCCTCACTTGGGAACCTCCAGTATCAGTGTTCCAGACCTCTTCTCCATGTGCACCTACTCCCAGCACTTACTTCCTGGGTGAACTCATCCAGTTTCATGGCTTTAAATATAGTCCATACACTGATGAAAACCACATTATGTTTCTAGCTGGGCTCTTTCCTCTGAACTCCAGAATATAATACATTCAATTTATATTTTCCACTTTGATGTCCAAAAGACATTTGAAACTTAACATATCTAAAAGCCAAACTCCTGAGATCCACCCTAAAAACTGCTCTTCCTGTAGTCATCCCCATCTCCATTTTTCAGTTGCTCAAGCCAAAACCTCAGTCATGCTTGACTTCTTTCTGCCATCCCACATCCTACTGGCTGAACTTTATAAATGTATCCAGGATCTAAACACTTCTGCAGTGCCACCCTGGTTCAGGCCATTATCATATCTCAAGTGAGTTTTGCTTCTGGTTCCCTTCCATCCACACTCTCAATATCACAGCCAGAGTAAAGTCAGACCATGTCATTCCTCTGCTCAAATCGTCCTGTACGTTCTCATCCTCTTTAGGCCTAACTGCGACCTCTCGGACCCACATGACCTATCCTCTTGCCATCTCTCCCGTCCTTGTGTCCAATAGCACTCCCAGCACTGCTCGTCCACCACAGCACACTGGCCTCCCGGCTTCTCCAACAGCCCTCTTAGGGCCTTTGCAAATGCTGCTCCCTGGGCACGAAATGCTCTTCTTCAGTATGCTAATGTAACTCCCATTTCCTCAGGTGTCTGCCTGTTGACACCTTAGTAAGGCTTTTCCTGACCCTTTCTGTGTGAAAAAGCACAGTATGCCCCTTTTTCTTGATTTTTCTGTCTCCCTTCAGTAGAGTGTAAGCTCCATGGGGAGAAGGATATAGTCTGTTTTGTTTACTGCTATCTCCTCATCCTCTGAACAGCATCTTGCACATAGTAGGTGCTCAGTAAATACATGTTGAATTAATGAATGCATAAGTGGAAAACATATATACAAAGATATTTCTTTGTTTTGGAATTCTAGAACTAAGAAAGCAGTAAGAATGCCATTGCCTTTTCCCAATGTGTTTTAATTAAATGACTTGTATGTTTGTATGATAGAGTATAAGATTTAAGAAAATTGTAATGATTAAGTATAACAGGCAATAGGACATAATGATTGAGAATCTGGGTTCTAGAGCTGAGCTGCCTGGTTTAAATCCTAGCCTGACCTCTTACCTTTATGACACTGGGGAACTTATTAAACTCTCTGCAGCTCATTTGGGGAAAAAGAAAAATAGAGCGAATAATATTATCTATATCATTTAGTTGTTTTGAGGATTCAGTGAGCTAATACAGGTTTCCGCAGGGATATCCCTCTGGGTATAAAAATCTGTGGATGCTCAAGCCCCATACTTGGTCCTCTGTAGCCACAGTCCGCATCTGCTGATTCTGACAACCACAGATACTGCAGTGCATACTGTATTCATTGAAAAAGAATCCACATATAAGTGGACCTATGCAGTTCAAACTCGTGTTGTTCACGGATCAACTGTATTTATAATATGCTTAGAACAGTGCCTAGCACATAGTAATATATAAATGTTTGCTAATAAAATAAAATAAACCTATTACAGATGTTTGCAAACGTTATCACATATTTTCCATGTCTTGTTACTATCCATCATCTCGTCACCCATTTTAAAAATATACATATATAATTACCGTTTGGTAAGTTAATCCTTATATATTTTTGTCTCCTAGAGCTGCTTATCATCCAGAGTTCCCAACAGTTCTGACAGCTTTAGAAATAGATAATGCAGTTGTCACAAACAGCCTAATTGACATGAGAAGCATAGAGACAGTGCTGCTGATCAAAGTAAGACCAGATGCTTGCTGTATTTTATATTATTCTAAATTTCCTAAACTGAGGTTGGTTATATAAATTCCTATTCTGCTTAAGTACTTGATATTTTATGAATTCTTTTTCTTAAAGAAACTTTGAGTTCTGTAAAATAAATCAATGTTTATTCTTCGTCAGTATACGTATTTCTATTGATATGTACTTGTTAGATTAGATCACCAATATTGTGTTTCATCTGTTGGCATAAATTTGCTGAGAAGGGACAAGGGAATTCAAAACAAATCTGTAATTAATACAAACAGAGTCTCTTTTTCTCATTAATGGAACCTGGGAGGTAATGACATCAGTCATCCAAATGTGTATATGTGAATTGCAAGTTCATATTGTAATTATTTGTGGGCTTGGCCCTCTCATATTTTAGACAGATACTTGAAAGAAAATAATGAAGTCCTCTTGTAAAGGTCTGTTTCAAGGAAGGTTGATTAGGCCTCAGTTAAGCCTAATCTTCTTTTTACTTCCTCTAGGAAGTAAAATACTAAATATTTCCAGGCTTTCCCTA